GATCCACGTTGGTTATTTTGAGAGAGAGTAGGTAATATATGAATGCTCTTCGGTTTCAAGACATGTAGGTTTTGTGTTAGGGAAGTTGTCGTTCCAGTTGCCCAAAACTTTTGGTGACAGTTTCATACTGGTTGATGGTAATGAACTACCACATCATGCGAGAATGGTCACTGGAGTTTTAAGACATAATAATATTGCGTACCTTCTCTCCCTATCCTTCTTAGGTACGCACGATGTTCCTCCAACATAAAATAGGGCTTCCCTTTCGTGCGCTCTAATAAATAAAAAAACTCCCGACATAAATCCGACAAAAAGCGTATAGAGAAGGGAAGGTGAAATGAAGAATATTGACCAATCAGAGGACGCGCTACTGGAAGAGAGGATAGCTATTCCCCAAGACTTCATCATGGTTTGATAACCGGTATGCCTCGGGGAACACCTCCCTTGGCAATGTGTTCCAGAGTCTCGCTGTTGGATGAACGAGTCTTTGGAAAGAGATGTTCTGCAGGTCTCCAAAGTGACCACAAAGGGTGCGAATCCTCAACTCGACGGGTTAATCTCGCGGAGAAGAGCATCGTCCATGAAAATAGGGCCAGATCGCCAACAATAACAATTGAAGGGGTTATTGTGAAATAATGACGAAGCTCTTTTCGCTTGAAGCAATACTATAACAAGTCACTACAGAATTGGTATGAGCATTCCTTAATAAATAGCGCGAAACACCTATGATCACTATTGCATAGGTCTATTTTTTCTCTAGTTACTACCGGACATAATCACAAGCCACACAAAATGGTCTATACGAGATGAAGCTGTTCCGATAATGCTGTGAATTCTGACTGTACTGGCGTTGTACTCAATGAAATGAGTTTTCAGAATCTTAAGAAATTGAAAACTGGTTGATCCAATCATGACGGTTCGAATATGATATCAATTTTTGCTTGTCTCTAACAAGTGTTATAAACGTCCTTTTGGTAACGAGTATATTAAGCACGAGCGCAGCAGAGCGGGGCGGCACCCATATTTGCATTCAAGGTTTCCGTAACCTCAATGAGTGTGACAGAGAATGAAGTTTCGATATTGCGCCGTCACACCCATTGGGTCAAATGGAACTTTAGATTGCAAATATCTTGCTAATCTTTGAAATAATCCTATCGAACCTGGTATTGTTGAATTCGTTATGATAATCCCTAACCAATAATGGATCGTCGAGCGCAACTCAGAGCTCCCATCAGAATTGTTCTGTGCTAAGTAATTAATTTTTTATATGAAATGATAGTTTCTGAGGTTAGTACCTTATGACAGCTGATTAATGAAAAAGTTGGAACACAATAATATAGAAAATGTTAGTTTTTTAGGTTAGCACCTGATAGCTGATAAATGAAAAAGTATAGATTTGTCTCCAAAATTGATAAGAATACTTTGAGGAACTCGTCGAGCACTACTCAGAACTGTTCTGTTCTTTGAAATTAATTTTTCATCGAAAATGTTAGTTTTTTAAGATCGGCACCTTATTATGACAGCTGATAAATGAAAGAGTATCGATTTCTTTATAAAACAAAATACGAATATTATGAAGAACTCATCGAGGGTTACTCAGAACTCCCATCAGAACTGTTCTGTTCTTTGGAATTAATTTTTTATCATAAATGTTTTTTGAAATCAGCACCTTATGACAGCTGATAAATGAAAAAGTATCGAATTGTCCCTAAAACACAATAAGAATAATTTGGAGAACTCGTCGAGCGCTACTCAAAACTCCCATCAGAATTGTTCTGTTCACCAAGAAATGGCGCCAATGGAAACACATTAGGTATCGTATTTTATTTCTATAAATTATTCAATAATTTGGTTAGTTCAGCAGAACTATTGATGAAGTAGGTTTATTAGAACTCCAGAACTCTTTATAATACAACATAAAAATATATCAGAGCTAATTTCCTCGAAAAACGGCGCTGCGTGAAGTGAGCGCTCAAAAGTAATGTTTTCCATATACATCTACGATTTGCTGGAACTATTCAAAATTTCAGTCAGGGACTATAGAACCTTATCGAATCTACTCAGAACTCTAAAAAAATTTGTTACTCTAAAAAACGGCGCCAACTTCACATGAGTCCCACTTGATGGTATTGGATGATGTTATTTTTCATATATGAAAAAATGTGAATTTGGCAAAATAGATCTTACTCTGATTCAGGCCGTCATTTCGAGGGTGGTCCCCTTGGGCACGGCCTTGAACGCAAAATAAATCAAAAATGCCTGAATGAATGCTTTGGTAACTCAATTTGAGGAATATGATAAAATGATCTCATTTCATGTAAAAAACGTCATTCCTCAGGCTGGTTGAGTCTTCGTTAAGTCAATATGGAGCTTTGTGCAAACATTCTTTTTTGTGACCCAATCCCAAAAACAATGTTATACTTCCAGATATTATTTTCAAAAATTGTTAATTATGTATCAAGTGCGTGAAGTATGATTTTATGGACCGCAGCGCGTAAGTGAGAGCCCATGCGATAGCGAGGGCAATTAACACGCCTGAGCCATACAAGCAAGTTGTGCCCGAAATACAGCATTTTATGCACGACCGTTTCAGATATTTATTCACTGTCAATATCGAGGTCAATATGGAATTTATTAATGATTTTGAATCAATTTGATCAAATTATGTATGCCATTGGCGAAGAAAGATCGATTGGTAATCTACTAGAAATTAATGAAAAAAACAGTGAAATTACTTTACCACCCGCTATACACTTTTATCGCCCTAGGGCGCTAAAAAGCTACTTTACTCCGATAAAGTGCCACTTTGCGACCGGTCGTGCATAAAAAATATAATGATTAGCAACATTTTTCAGTACCTATATGTCGATACTTGCAGAGGTAGACAAAAAAACAGTTTATTGAAATTCTGGAAAGAATTAAAATTTTGATCAGATTGACAATGCGAATTCTCAATGTATTTCTTTATATGTATTCCTTTTTTTCATATCCATAATATATCTGATGATATTTTTTTTCAATAATCCGGAAAGTGACTGAATTATTTGATTTTTCCAAGGATTTTTCCGAATATTTCTCTAGAATAAAATAATGAAGTTGATATATTGGTATATCGAACAACATTGGAACACAACAGTGAATCATGCAGGATTATCCCCAGTCACCAGAAAAACTTAATTTTGAATCACTCAATCCAGTCACAGATCTAGAATGTTTGAAACCATCATTAGCAATCAAATAATTATATATTGAATATTCATTCCAAAATTGACTGCCAGCAGTGTCAGTAATTACCTCTGGAACCACCTATTTTGCTGAAATTCTGCTGTTCCAAAGTACTTACAGAGAGATTACTTGTACTGAAATTCTAATTTCAACGAAATGTGAAGAATTTTTCTCAATACCAACAAAATCGACAGGTTCAATCAGCACATCCCTTCATCATTATCCTTGAAAAATGTCAAACAACACTTCACAAAAAATTGGTTCGTCTAGAACGGCGAAGCTGCGGAATTCTTTGCCAATGGAAGTATTCCCAAGAACGTATAACTTCCAAAAGTTCAAAAAAATTCTAACACCCCTGCCTTCCCTAGGTACGTGCAATGTTCTAGTAAAATTATAGGAATTCTTTTTGTGCGCTCCAAGAGATAAAGAAACATTGTTTTGTGAAAATGAATAACATCCAATTTTACAATTTGAAATTTCATGTGGATAGTCATTAAGTTATGCCAATTTACCCCCAATCAAGATTGACTAAGAATGTTAGGTACTCATTTGGATATTGTGCTTTGTAAATCATTATCTTGATCACGCCTCTGGACATAGCCTGTTAGTACATTGCTATAGCAATTAGGATATACAGGGTGTATCTGAAAGGTATGTATAAAATCTCCCCACATATGCCTGAGGTCAAAATAAGCTGATTTAAAGTAACTTACCTCAGTCTGAAATTGCACCATATCCGAGATACAGGGTGGTAAATTTGAAAAATTAAAATAGAATTTTCCAAAGTGTATCAACATTTTCGAAAGTAGCTATTCAAAAATTGTTAGCCAAGTGTAACCAGAATGTGGACACCCTTTCACTGTGGCCATTAGAGGGTGTTTACAAATGCATTTCTTATGGTTTGGATTGGCAATAACTTTTTACTCAGTGAGGTTTTTTACTTTTTTTGTTGAGGAAACGATTTTCTGAATATTGTCTAGCAACAATGTGCCCTTGAGAAAAGTCACTAAATTGTGCCGTTTTCCACTCTTTTAAGTTTTAGTGTTTGATGAGGCTATGGAATATTCGAATAATTTTGAATAATAAATGTTTGCTGTTATCTTTGTGGATGTAATTTGGTCAGTGAATGAGCAGTGCGAAAATTATTTGTTCAAAATACTTTTTTGAAGTGTGCTTGCCGATTTTCAATTTTTAAATTTACCAGCAGGTTTCTTGGAAACTGGGCAATTTCAGAGGTAAGTTGCTTGTGCTAAGATTTTGTACAGGCCTTTCAGGGCCACCCTGTATTGGTGTGAAAACATTTGGCTATACCCAAGGTTTCTACACCTAGCTATTTTTAGCAATTTACTGTGGCTGTTTGGAGGGCTATTCCATATCTAGAAACAGAATGATTACAGTTGTTAAACAATGCTATAATCCAAATAATCTGATATTCCTCTTGCCTGAACAACAAGAAATGCAAATTATGAAATTTTTATCCAGAAGTACACATATACACAAGACCACTTCAACATGATAGAAGGAATGAATTCTTAGATCATATATTCCTCTAATGAATTATCTGAGGTATGAAAGTGATATCATCATATCAATCAGTTATACCTCAAATACTAAAATGGTTTTTGAAGCTCAGCACCTAGATATGTTGTCTGTGGAACATTTGAACAAAATAAACCAATATTCAACAGAAGTCCTAGAAACTTGCAACACCTAGAGTCACCGGATGGTAATAGTTAGAAAAGCAACACCTATACTAATAATATGTAGGAATTTACCTGTTCCGAACTATCAAGTGATGTACCAGGTTTTGATATACATTTTTTGAAACATTTTTCTGTCATTTTCTAAAAATGCAAACTGATAATATAAAGTTGTACCACCTCGAAAAATTTACTCACTGTGAGAAGTTCCTGTGCATTCGCTACTGCTATTTGTTGTTTAACTTGATCCATCAATTCATCTTTTTGAGATCCAGATAGAGATGAAATGTTATCCATTTTTACTTCAAAAGGCTGGTCTAAAGAGGTCGGTCAGTTCAAAGAGTGCCAAAATAAATAGAGGTTACATTCTCGAAAATATTAGGTTAACTTTGATTCTGCTTTACATCGTTGCCAATGCAACCCACTGACATGTAAAACTACGGAAGCGTCGTGCCATAGACTTCAGAGTTCCGACTTCAGACATCTGACGTCACATCAATCTGTTTCAATTGGTTAATTGATTTGTTTCATGTTCTATGGCATCCCTGATGATGTAATTTGAATTTTGATAAAGTTTTAAGGCAACCATGAAATATGAATAGTTGATCAATTAATAATTTGTTAACTATTTCCACCATTCATTGAATGTTGGATAATTGCAAGTATTGCAACTAGGTGGGAGAAATAGCTCAGATAACTGAGGATTTTTTATTACTTGGATATAATAACAGGTAAATTGTGAAGATTGGATTGAGTGCAAGCAGTGTGCCAAGTGGAAGTGTAATCAAAGTGTGCAGCAGAGTTTCATCAGTGATTCCATATTATTTATTTTCACTTCATCAAGACTCCTTCATCCATAAGAACGGCTAGGCTCTGGAATTCATTGCGTCTGGAAGTATTCCCAACAACATATAATCAAAAGTTCAAAATAAATTCAAATACCTACCTCCTGTCCCTATCCTCCCTAGGAACGCACGATGTTCTTTGAACATTATAGGGATTCCCTTTCGTGCGCTCCAAGCAATAAAAAAAATACTGGAAATAATAGGTACCTACCTCACAATGTGATTTCATTTCATCAAGTAGACACCTATATCATTCTTACTGTAATCAGAATGTGATTTTACATCTATTTTTCGAACTTGATTATACAGGGTGTTTCATATTTGAATGCTGATAATTAAGGGCGATGATCCTTGGATGATTTTAAGGAGAGAAGTTTATATCAACATATGTCCTGAACCTCTTAGTTTTTGAGCTACAGGGTGTTGAAATCAGAAGCGTACAGCGTTTATTTAAACTAAACATTCAATATCAGGTCTACGAGGACATCACTGGTAAAAGTTAAAGTTTGATTTTCGTCAGTGGCGTACTATTTTTTTCTTCAAAAATTGTCAGTTCAAACCCCGTACGGACGCCACTGGTGAGAATTCTTAAATATCTTCCACGTAAAAAAATGCTCCTTCATAATGAGAAGGTGTATATAAAATATCATAACAATATCTAAGATTGATAAAAAATTATGATGAAAAACTCATTTTTTTCTTGAAATTTCATCACCCTGTAGCTCAATAACTAAGAGGTTTAGGACATATGTTGATATGAACTTTTCTCTTTGAAATCATCCAAGGATTATCGCCCTTAAGGATCAGCATTCAATTATGAAACACCCTGTATATGTTATTTTTTCTGAAAGATTAAATTATTTCATCTAGGCATATATACCTATATGGTTTCCTCAGAATCTATATTAATTGTAACAAAATGTGTGTGGGGAACTGCTTCCCATTATTTTTTCTTCAAAGGAGATAAAATATTTCGTTATAAATAACCTATAGTTCGATAGTTTTGTTTGCCATGAACCTTCTCATATAGGTAATAAATAGTTCTCAAATATAAATTATACATGAAAATCATATTGATGATCCACGTATGCATATCTTTCTGATGTTTCAACAATAGTCATCACTTGGGAAATCATGGAATATGGTTAAGATTTACTCCTCAGTCTTCCCTAAAAGAAATAATAAACATGTAGACAATAAAAACAAAATTCTTAACTATATCTACGTTACCTACCATCAGCACAAAACAAAATAGTGATAGCATCATGCTAATTATTTCCTATTGATTTCGACGAAATATCTAGAGAATTTTGAGACTCTGTATATATTACTATGAAAAATCTTTCTTTCAGAGAGATTAATAGATATATGTTTTTTCTGTGTGAAGGCTGCCGTGATGCTTCTTCCTGTATCATTTTTGATACTCTGATTACTCTGTATAATCGCTAATCCCTATAGGCCCCTAACCTCTAGCGCGCCTGACCCTTACATTACGAGTTTATTAACATATTTCGCAGGCTAACCGGAATACATTTTTGGTGAAACACAGAGCTATTTTACTAGTTTTGATTAAGAGTTGTTCGACATATTCGTCTAATATGTTTGCTGGTGAGGCGGCGAGTTGCCCTGTATATTTTTCAATCAAGTTTAAACACACTGTATCTTGAACGGAATCATCAGCTAGCATTCCGTTGTAATAAAGTGATGACTTATAATATAAGACTTCTAGATATTATCTAGAACGGATCTCTCGCTTCACTCTACAGTGTGACGACTTTCCAACGTCTACTCATCCCGTTTGAACAGCATTATCATGTTTGAATTTCCACGCCTGAATACCACAGTGCGTAAATCCAGCTTCCTTCAATTTAGTTGACGATCGATGATGTCGTGACGCAATTTGAATTTTACGCCGTTTGTGGTGCCGCGAGTAGCCCTGTCAAGTCAGCCTGTGATTGGCTAGCCGAGTGACGTGGTTTGGGAGGGGTGGGGGTGGTCTAGACCCTCTCAACTCCTACTCACGTGCTTGGGGTTAATTCTTTAGTAAACTATTTACTTCCTAGTTGCTTGAAACATTTTTCTCAATATTCCTTTCAATATACTGAAGAGGACCGTAAGCCCAAAACACGTGCCTGCGGTTGAGTCTTTATGAGGTCTATTTCGAATTTGTTCTTCCTATATACATAGATAGTTATTACTGCAACTGTGAGTCTGTTGCTCGAACTGTCGTTACCTGCGCACATATTGCTAGTGTAATATGGTTTTTGGGGTATACGCACGCCATCAATCAAACATCAAACATTCGCTACCACTTAACCCAATTGAAAGAATCCGTTCAAGATGCAGCGAACAGACTACTCTGCCACAAATTATTGTCCATCAGTTATTTATTTTATATACAGGGTGTCCGGAAAGGTCAAAATGTAAATGATAGGGCTGATAGAGTGAGCCAAAATAATGTCAGTACTTATTCATATGAAAAAATTGCAACCGCACTTCGCTACGGAGTTATTGACATTGAAAGATTGAATAAAAAGGATATTTTCTTCGTGTTCAGGGAAATGAGGTAAGAATTGGTGTTCCTGAATTTCTGGAGGTTATATACCTCCCTTGGCATTGTGTTCCAGAGCCTCGCTGTTCGTTGGATGAACGAGTCTTTGGAATGAGATGTTCTGCAGGTCTCCAAAGTGGCCACGAAGGGATGCGAAGCCTCAAGTCGACTGGTACATCTCGCGGGGACTGCCAAGGGAGGAATAATTGTTGATATTTCAGAAGAGCATCGTCCATGAAAATATCCATAAAATAGAGCCAGATCGCCAACTATATCACTTTTAAACGGTTGCCATAAAGTACCCCGCACGGTTCTTATAGAAAATGGGTCCCAGTCGAATTGGCTCAAAATTTGGTAAAATGTAGTTTATGACGTTCTGATAAAATGTCTTCATGAGTGCAACCAAATCTAATGGACAATTTTTCAAATACAGGGAGTTAAACATGCGGAGACAGGGTTGTTTATTCTCACCTTTAGAACATCAGTAATGTGGTGATTACTTTGCTTTTGCTACAAAGAGTCAAGTATAACAATTTTAATATTTTCCATGTTAGGCCAGTCGGCCAGTGTTGATCTTTATGTAATTCTTTGAAAAATCTCAGTCAAACGCATAATCTTGCATAATGAGTAAAAATTATTACGGTGTTTTGCCTCTTTTACTTTTTGCAGTTGTTTGCGAACAGTTTTATTTTCTGAATTTATAATTTCATAAATGGTAGGGCATGCCTTTTCTTCAAATCGTTCGTTTTTATCAAAACTGTTCCTGATAAAATGCAATTAAAAATTTGTGATAATGATCCACAATGGAATTGTATACGTGATTTTGTATTATTTTTACCTGGCATATTTTGTTGTATTTACCGATTTTCCTATATTTGGTCTCTTCATGTTAACTTTCCATGTTCTTAGTTCGTTCTCATTCGATAGAAAGCTGACAAATTTGAATTTGCCATTATCGTCAGTGATATGCACTGCTCGCCAGCAGCCATGTGGGTATAGTTGCATGGCTGCTGGAGAGCATTGTAGTTGTAGGGTTGTAGATCACTGATGACAATCTCAGTCGTATTGATTGATGGTCGTTGACTATATCTTTGAACTCTTTTTTGCTCCTGCGAATTTCAGAATCCTATCTCAATAAATTACGTGAGTTACAGGGGTGCTTCCATGAAAAGTGAGATGAAATATAATTTTTCAGAACCGAAACATTTTCAGGAAAAATATGAATAGTTGGTGAATTGGACTGGTTCGATTTCGAATCTGAAGTGATTCTCAACCTATCTTGCCTCCTAATTTCATTTTCCGGAAATACGGTTGGTTCCGTGGCTGTTGGCGAGCAGTGTAAATCACTGAAGATGACTCACTCTGGTTTATCTCTCACTACTTCAAGTTTCAGAATCCTTATACTCAACAATTACGTCATATATACAGGAGTGCTTCTATTAGAAGTGAGACACACTGTATATTCAGAAATTGGTATGATGGCGCTTGACTCATTGTACCATGAAACTTGATAAATGATTATTCATGTTTGAAGGGACAATTTGATTTTCATTGTATGCACACTGCACAGATGGTGCACAGTCGTCCATTTGTTGCCTGAAAATTGGATGTAGTGTGTGAGAACTGTCTGCAGTCGTGAATTATAGCGTTTGCCCACTGTCAAATGTCAGGTACACGACGCTCAGTCAGTAGTGTCAGTACCTGTCAGTCAGTACTGTCACCAATGACAGTGTCAGTACTGTCAGTGTATTACCGTGATACCGTCGTCAGATGAAGATGGGATTGAAGAAATAATATTTATACCAGACGAAAATTGATTATGAACAATAATTATCATAAACTCCACTATAAGTATTTTTTATATAATTAGGCGTTTAGTGTAATTCAACATGAGTTACTATTATGGAAATATAACCAGTATCACAAACGTGAATATGATGTGAATGCTGCACTGGTCACCATGAAAAAGTTATTTTCTAAAATCGAGACCAAAATCGACAATACTTCTAGAGAAGGAAATAGTTATGTAGGGAAATCTTTCACTATTGGAAGGCAAACTGTTATTGTTGAAGATATCCTGGCAGAAGGTAAATATAGCAAAAAAA